AATGGTTTGAGCCGTCTCTATACAAAAAGAAGAGCCTGCTCATTTGATGCATAGTCTCGGCATCTCAAGATTAATCTTAGAAGCAGGCTAGAAGAATGCATTGAGCCAGCTCTAGGAACTAGAAGAGCCGGCTCCAAAGAACTTCATTGAGCCGGCTCTATGAACAAATGAGCCAGCTCCATCAGTGTAACCCACTTACATTACTCTCGGTTCTTCACTTAAGTACACAGTAGGTTGCTTATATATATACACATTCTTGGTTCTTTCACTATTTTGCAATAAAAACTTCATTCCAGACATAAATGAACTTCATTCCAGAGAGCTTCTTTGCTAGGAAACATTCCATTCTACTTGGGCATCTTCACAATTAAGTGAATTTCATCAAATTCTATCTAAAATTCATGAGTGCTTGCCTTTTACTTGAACTTTTAGTCATTAATTCTTAATTTCATTATCTTTAATCCTTCATCCATGAAACCCTTGATTGCACTGTAGAGTTTCTCCTTCATATGAAAAGAACATATTCCAGTAGAAATTGTTTAACACTTGGTTTGCTAATTCAAATTTTCCAGTGGTTATGCATTTGCCTTGTGATTAATCTATGAATTTATTTTATCAAATCTTAGAAATATATTGCATAACTTTTGTTATCAAACCCCTTTTATTTTGAATTTATCTTTGAATAAATTTTAAAAATATGTTGTTTATAATTCATCTGGGCAGTACATTTCAAAATTCTGTTGAATTTCAACTTTTAAGATGAATTTGTAAACTTTATTCCCTAGATCATATTATCTAAATTTTTTTTTGGGGTTTTCAAGCATAAATTTTTCTTAGCATTTGGTATCAAAATTTTGACTGGATGTGAATTTTAATCTAGGTTGTTTTATTGTTTCAAAATCCTTTTATTACTACTATATATCTTCAGTCAAAATGAATTTGGATTTGGAATTTACATTGTGTTTTCATTAGGGTTTCCATTCTATTTGTTCTTTGTGTATTTTCAATCCAAACCCTAAAATTATCAACGGCTTCCATATATGTAAAATGAAAATTTGCTTCAAATTTCTTCCTATTTGTTTAAATCTTTCATGTTTCTCATGCACTACTACTTCAAAATTTGGCAAGAACCTAGTTCATCCTCCCACCTTTTTGAGATGACAAAGGGGGAGAAAGATGTGTGATTCATTATGTTTGTTATGCTTGTGCGTATTTTGTTTTTCACTTATATTAGATGCATATTAAAAGGGAGAGACTTGTAAAAATGTCTGAGAAATTTAAATGCTCTCAAATTGTCTAATATAATTGTTGTAGAATCAAGCATGATATAATATTCAAAGATAAGCTTATTGATAGGGGGAGCATTCTATCAAATGCAACTCCTCTTTGACAATAAACACATCAATGTTTTGTCGTCATCAAAAAGGGGGAGATTATTGGCCTAAGGATTTTATCTAAAGGTCAATCTTATGTTTTGATAATTACAAACCATTAAAGATGTTTAAGTACTAATGTTTTCATTGAGTGATATATAGTTGATCAATATTCAATCCTCAATGTTGAGCTAGAAGATCCATTCCAAGCATTACAAATACTCAAGCTATGGATTCAAGGAAGCCTCAAAGTTGCAAGAAATTGAAGAAAAGGGGTAGATAAGATAGTGAGAGCTTAAGATTTAATGTCAAAGTATTCTTGAATTCATTTGAAGCTCATCTCTATAGGACCATGCATATCATACATCATATGCTCCTACATCATTAGCAATAGACTTTGAACTTCAATACACATATATTTAACATATGAAGTCTTTGCTAAGAATGAGTTAGTTCAAGCTTACATAAGCTTTGAAAGAACTCAACTTAAACTAAAAATGCTAGGACCATGCACATTAATCATAATACTTATTTTGGTCTCTAGAAAGAAAAGGAAAATGCATTGAATTTTATATTTCATTTTTAAAGCCTTTATTGCCATAATTTGGTAAATGACTCTAGGACACAATGCACTTAAAATTTAACATCTTCATATGTCCCTAGACTCCTAGCAATAGGCCTTGAACTAAATTGAATCATTCATCAAAGTCCTAGGTGCTAGAAAAATGAATATCTCAAAAGAAGCAATTTTCAGCCTAGAAAATTTCCAGACCAGCTTGCACTCAAAATGCTATATCTATTTGTGTAGTTGGAATTTTTACATAAGGCAGTGGAATTAGAAAGCTGACTTTGAGCTCTTGAGTTTAGACTCAAGTTTCACCTAAAAAGGATTTGAATTGAAAGAGATATAACCATCACAAGATGACTGATTCTGCTCTGCGAAAATTCTGACTAGGTTTCACTAAAACGGCCATAACCATTTCTGTGTTTAGAATTTTTGAGCAAGTCTAGTGGCATTAGAAAGCTGACTTCAAGGCAATAAATTCAGGCTCAAATTTCACCTCATTTGGAGTTTCATGGACTGAGTTATGTCCATTTGAAGTCATGCACTTTTTTTGTCCAATCTAATTTAGCAGCAGCTTTCATGAAGCAAGAGCCACCTCTATAAGAAATAGAGCCAGCTCTCTCAAGGCTAATAGAGCTTGCTCAATAAAATTTAGAGAAGGCTCAATGGGAATTAGAGAAGGCTTAAAGAATAGAGAAGGCTCCATGAAAAATTAGAGAAGGCTCAATGAGATAGAGAAGGCTCCATGAAATAAAAGAGAAGGCTCTTTCAATTCCAGTAGGCTTTTTAACGAAAAATTAGAGAAGGCTCAAAGAAAAGAGAGGGCTCAATTAAAAGAAAGAGAAGACTCTTTTCCACAACTTCAGTATTTGAGAGGGCTCAATTAAAAGAAAAAGAGGGCTCTTGTTTTGTTCCAAGTAAGCTACGAAAAATGCATCTTCAAAATAAAGAGCAGACTCAAGTTTTTACAAGAGCAGGCTCTTTCTAATGAAAATGAACAAAGAGCAGGCTCACATTTTTACAAGAGCAGGCTCTTTCTAAAGAAAATGAACAAAGAGCAGGCTTTCTTGTTTACAGAGCAGGCTCCTTCTGGGGTTTTGAACTGCAACGAAAATATTTTCATTAATTGATCCCAACAACCTGTAACAGCTATATTGAGTCTCAAAATTCTATAAATACAGAGGGCTAGCATACTGAATGCACCTACCATTTTGAGAGACATTACATTGCAAGAGAGCTTTTGTTCTCATCTTCTATTCTTCTCTCTCATTTCACGCTTATTCTATTTTTGAGAGATTCTAGTAAAAGATCAAAAGGGCTTTTGCTCTTGTTTTAATCTTCATAGAGTTTCTACTCTATTATACTACTTGAGAGAGCATTCAAGAACATTCATTCAAGTGCATCCAAGAGAGCTTTTTGCTCTACCATTATACAGAGCTTTTGTTCTGCATTTTTTCCTCATCATCTCTCATACATTTCATACTTAGAGTTTGAGCTTCACTTGACTTCATATATACTCTATTGTGAGGTTTGATTTGTATCAGTTCTTGAGAGGATTTCTTGTACTACAAATTCTATCTACAAATCTGCTGTAAGACTAAGAGGAAGAGTTTCCCTTAGCAAAGAAATTGTAAGGGCTGGTGTGGCCTATGTAAAACTAAGAGAGGTGGTCTCTTAGCAAGGATATTGTAAGGGTTGGTGTAACCCAAAGGAAGACTAAGAGAGGTTTTCTCTTAGCAAGGAGTTACTTCTAATCAAGGTTTGCTCTCCACCCGTAAGGAGAAGCTATATTGGATTGGGAAGTCTCAAGAGGGATCTTGAGCCAAGGAGTAGGAGTTTTCCGAACCTCGCAAAAATCGCCGTGTTATAGTTTGCAATTTCTCTTCCCTTATCTCTTTTATAATTGTGCTATAAATTGTTTACTTTCATATCTTGATTTCATATGTTGATTATTGCACAATAGGTTATATTGTTAATTAGAAATTGTATTTCTATAAATTACGAAAATTGGCCATTGACTTTATTCACCCCCCCTCTAGAGTCAATTCTTGAGTAACAGTTATGGTGACCCACAATGTCCTCTGTCCACTCAAAATATCCTTCAGTAAATGACAACTCTGCTAAAACTTTTAAAGCATTACTCCATTCTACCTCATTAGCATGCATTTTATGTCCCAAAAGTGCAAATTGTTCTGGTTTATCGACCTTTTTATGGAGTGCTAAATCCAATATCAATGCCTCTGAGATGGATTTATTCTCATTATTCTCATTAAATCCAAGGTTGGTGAGCCTGCATAAAGACACCCTTGACCATTGGGATAGGAAATATTGAGCATTTGACAATGACCTTGGCAAATGCAGAGAGGAATTGCCAATAAATGTTGTATCCACATCTAATGTTGTTCTTTTTTCTTGAGGGTCACCTTCCCTTTCAATGATGGTCACGGTTCTTTTCTTGAAGCATTTAAAAAGCACCATGGTTGATGCACTAGAGTTAAGAAGCGGATAGCTGAAAATACAAGAGATGTGACATTGATTATATATATATATATACACACACACACACAAATAAAAATACAATTATGACTCATCAAAAGAAATAAGTGATAATTTGATGGTCATATAAAAAATTATGATGGTTACAAAATCAAATGATGGGTATTAAAATCAAAACAACAATGCCTGACAGAGCTCATGGGTATTAAAAAAAATGCCCTTACAAAATCAAATGATGGGTATTAAAAAAAATGCCCTTACAAAATCAAATGATGGGTACTAAAATCAAAGCAATGGTGCCCGACAGAGCTGATGGGTATTAAAAAAATTTGCCCTTGAGAGCTGATGATTACAAAATCAAATGATGGGTATTAAAATCAAAGAAACAATGCCCGACAGAGCTGATGGGTATTTAAAAAAAAAAAAAAAAATGCCCTTGAGAGCTGATGATTACAAAATTAAATGATGGGTATTAAAATCAAAGAAACAATGCCCGACAGAGTTGATGGGTATTTAAAAATTAAAAAAAAAAAGCCATTGAGAGCTGATGATTACAAAATCAAACGATGGATATTAAAATCAAAGAAATTGTGCCCTTGAGAGCTGATGGGCATAAAACAAATTTGTCCAAAAAGACTGATGGGTATAAAATCAAAAGATGGTGGAATTTCTCGTGGAGAAGACAAATTATGGTCTGATTTGAATTGGTAGAATGCAGATCCAAAGCCACCATTCAAGGGTGTCAAACCGAAATGTCAAAAACTTGGCATACATATATGTGTATTAAAGATTAAACAGTAATATATATATATATATATATATATATAAATTGGCGTACCTTTGTTGATGCGACTCCCGGATGTTAACACAACTCCAAAGTCCATCCTACCCTGTCAACCCTTCTGCAACACCAAAATGTGAACTGTGGTGGACATTAGAGATAAAATCAAAACGAGTACCATGGCAGGCGTTTAAAAAAAAATGTTGCAAGAATAATTATAGGGGCATACTTATTGATATTTGATATTGAACAGTGAATGTCAATGCAACCAAATACTTCTTCGGCACCAAAGTGGAAGCTGTGGAGAGAGGATGGACATTATCTCTTTATTTGGATGAGAGAGAAAAAAGATCTTCTAATTTTTGTTAACAGCTGTGTTGATATATTTAGATTTTAAAGTAAGACATACAGTAACATACGGAATTAAGTCAGGCGAAATAACAGTACTCATATGCATATCATGCAAGTCCTCAAAATGGGTTTGTTTAAAACTTTGGAAGCTGCAGAAAAGGGGTTAAAGCAGGTCCGGGAATTGTTTAGCCAAGCTGCAGATAACAGCTTGAACTTAAAGAAACCAGATTGAATACAAGGATACACGACACTAATTGGTATCTTTTATTCTGAGTTTAATTGAAGACAGTACCTGGGGACAAAAATATTGGTAGGACGGCGGAATCTTCCTGAAGTTTTTTCCTCGTATTTTAGAAACCTATTAATATGAACACACACACACCCAAAAAAAAAAAAAAATGGTTTTCACATCCAGAGTTCTGAATGTCAAATAAGAAAAGGCAAGATTGGTGGTCAGACCCAATTGAGTTTAACCCGTATACGTAGAACCGGCATTAAAGTTGTCCTATCTAAATGAATATATATATATATATATATATATACACACACACCTGGTACTATGAAAATGGGTTTGTTTTAAACTTTGTTAAGAGCCCAGAAAAAGTCATAGAAAGAGGGGCATGGCATGAGTATGCCAGTGTCTCAAGACTAATGGGTGAACTCAAACTCCACCCGTCTCTCCGTCCTCCGCCGCCGCCCTCGATTTGATCCCAGCCGAATGATTGGTATCATTAAAAGGAAGGACTTGATAAAAGACTTAGCAGCGGCATACCACACAGAGTGCCTTGCATATTGTCAAGAACTTCTGGAACTCCAAAGAAGATAGGAGGAGCCGAAAATGGAGATTAAAACTCCAGAGAATCCGAGGAAAGGAACGATGAGGCCTCCTAAACGCAAAAAAAAATAATAATAATAAAAATAAAAATAAATAAATAAATAAAAGTCGCTAGAATGCTCGTACCTTGGTGTGTAATGGAAATCTGTGGTTGCATAAAAATTGCCTTATCCAACAATACTGAAAGCAGACTTTCAGAGAGCAAATGGTAGGATCTACTAGAAGTCTTTATTTTGTATGGATCATTATTGTATTGTACATATCAGACTATTGGTCTGGTCAAGTGGGATCTTGTTGGAATTCAAATTATCATAAACATTGACACTAGTTTCTAATGAAGCCCACAATGGTTCTTTTCTGGCCAAAAAAAAAAATTGAATCTAAAAAAAAAAAACACGAGATAGTCCTGCCCGTTTGGCTTCTTCGACACAACTAAAAAGAAAAGGGAAAATTACATATAAATAGAGTCAAAGTTCTATATTTACTTAGAGGCTGAGTCAAAGTTTCATATTTCTCTAAAATGGATTGCTGAGGTGGCACATGGTTTTTTACTGTTTAGAAATTGTGGTGCCTAAAATACCCTTCCGCGAAGGTACTACTTTTTTGAACTGAAGGTACTACTTTTTGGCGTCCAGGTACCATGTTTTTTAAACACCCGCGAAGGTACTACTTTTTCTCCGAAGGTACTACTTTTTTGAACTGAAGGTATTACTTTTTTGAACTGAAGGTACTACTTTTTTGTTAGGAAAGGGCATTTTAGGCACCACAATTTTTTAAACAGTAAAAACCCATGTGCCACCTCAGCAATCCATTTTAGAGAAATATAGAACTTTGACTCAGTCTCTAAGTAAATATAGAACTTTGACTCCATTTATATGTAATTTTCCCAAAAGAAAACTCCATCCTTGTCGAAGGAAAAAAAAAAATATACTTTTAAAATGAGAGATGGGTTACATCAGACATTGATGACGTGAAAGATTTGCACGTATATATATTTATATATTTCATATACATATATATATATATATATATATATATATATATATATATATATATAAGGGATTTTTATAAATACATGGGTCTAAGGCCCAAATGTTACTTTAAAATGGAAACAAGGTCTTAAAGTTTCAATTATTAGTTTGACCAATGCAATATTTCTCTAAAATGGACTTTACTTTTTACTTTAAACCACACAACAACTTATATTGATACTTTGACCCAACAAAATATGTTATTATAACATAAAAGCTTTAAAACATGAAATAAGTATACGGAAAGATCCTTGAACAACTATTTAATATTTTTAACAAACTATTTTTTGTTACCTTTTAATTAAGATGGATTAATATGGACTTATAGACTTCTTTAGACAAAAGATCATATATAAATTAAATTTAACGAAACAGTATAGGCTCTGATACCAAAATTGAGTTGGATCTGACCGGATAAAAGCAAGCAAGATAACATAGAAGTAAAATAACAAATAAATCACAGAAATGACTACCGAACCTGATAACGCCCTATAGAAATGCCTGAACACCGGCAAAGAACGGGCCAACAAGCCAACAGTTCGAGTCAACTCACAAAAGAAATTGTTAAATTAAAACTAAGGCTACTTGTACTGGTTGGATTCAAGAAAATTCTAGGATATACACTGTCTGGCTAAATAAAATCTATATATTTAATCTTTTGTTGACAGAAATCTTTTGCCCGAAAGTACTTAAAAAACTAAATAGGGATAAGAAAATTCTTGGAGTGAAAGCAAACTGGATGATTTATTTCATAAGATATATATACAGAGATACACACTGTTTGTATATGGATACTTGCTCACACAATATTTTACAGAAAGATAACACTCAAAAATAAAAGAAACTGAAGGAAGTCACAAAAGAAACACACTGAAAACTACAGAAAAGCTTGACGATTCTAGACTTGATTGCCCTTAAAACTCGATGATCTTTACTTGAGCAGAGAGGCTCATTTTATAGCAGAAAAAGGGATAAATCAGCGATTGAACTTGAAGATGTTGCATGGATGGTTGAGATTCAAGATGCTTTAGAGATAAGATGACATGAATTATTGTTGAACTGTTGATGTCTTCTTCTGGAGAATTATATCTACTTTTGCTATTGAGAATCTGCTTTCGGTGGATCTGCTTTTAACTGTACACTGTTGAGAATTTACTTTTCTTGAATGCTGAAGCTGTTTTTTCCTGTATACTGTGGAGAATTTGCTTTTCACTAGAATTCTTGCATATTGGACAAATTTCTGTCGATAGTGCTATCTGTTGGACTATCAACTCTTGCTCTGGCATGCCTGCGGGCCAAGTATTCATCAGTACTGTCTGGTGAGCTGGTTTCTTCATTTCTATAGGCAAGATCAAATTGTTCTAACAACATCTTTTCTTCATTTATTATTTCTTCAACTTATGGGGATATCTCAATCTCTGGAGGGGATTTAACGACATGAGGAATTCTTGCTTTAACAAAAAATTTCATGTTGATATTATGATCATAGAGTCTGAAACCAGGATTATAGCTTGGGTTAATTTGTCGATAAGCTTTATAGTACACAAAATGGTTAAAGGTAACTGGTTCTATCTCATTACGAAAGTTATTTACAAAATCAACATGTTGGGTAAGAATTTTGACTTCAATAGGATCAGAATGAATGTAGATTCGATGCTGTCCCAAAATTATAGCTCCATCCTTTACCCATTCTAGGGGAGTACTATGGATTTGAAGGAGAATTGGACTTTCTGGCATAAAATTTTGGGTTAGTTTCTATTCGAAGGCAATGGCTTGGTTTAAACGGTTGGGAAAATTACATAAATAATTTAAATATTCTAAGGGCATGTCATTGGGTATAGTGACACTGTAGATCATTCCTAGTTCTAACAGTTTGCTTAAATAACAAATGGTTGTTTTAGTAGAGAAAATGGTTTTTCTAATTATTTCAAAAGGAATAAAGAAAATAGGGTCTACATCTAACAAGATAATGGCTATTGGTATGTCAGTGCCTGTTTGTATTAATCTTATGAAAATATAGTTATAACGGGTTCCTTTGGGTGGACTGTTGTTTCTGAGGTAATTTTGGATATCAACCCATTCCTTGAGCGTATCTGACTTAATTTCTTTAAGGATAAGTTCTTTGATGTCTTTTGGAAAGAGCTCAACTTGTTGTCTCAGGATTTCTCTGTATGTGGGAGAAAACATGGATAATAACTTGGCATACTTGGTTTATACCTGCAAAAATTGAACCTTCTAAAGATTTTCATCTTCATCAGTCCGTTGCTCAGAAATAGTTAGTTCTGTGGGATTTGCTGTCGTCTTTTGATAAACTAAATTTAACTTTTTATAATGAGATATAAGAGTCTCATGTTCTTGCTGCAAATTCTGATACACTTTATTAGATGATACGAAATATTCGCTTAAAGTGTTTAGATTTCTGACGAGGGTTCTATTGGGGTTGTTTCTAGAAAACCAAATATTATCTAAAATAAGTTTTTGGTCAGGAAAAAGATTATGTCTAGCGCAAAACTGTTGAATTGGGTTTTGGATAATCAAAAGAAGATTAGAAGTGCCTGGTATAAGGCTATAACTATTGTTGTTCTTGATTTCCATTCCTGCAAAATTTAATAATCAATTAGTAAACGAGATAGAATATCTGCTAA